GTCGTCGCCTGATTTCAGCGGTAAAATAAGCAAGAAAATGGCCACCAAAGTTTGGTTATTTCCAAACTTTGAAAGTTTTTAGAAACTGCAAATTTACATTTTGATTCCTTGAGTCAACTTTTTTCAGTGGAATCCGCACAGAAATGTGTTTTTTGATGGGCATAAAAGGTGTTGAGCCGAAAAACGAAAAATTCTATGAAAATTCACAAGCCTGCTGAAAAATGCCAGTTTCTTTGCTTTGATTATTTTGACGAGCGTCTGATTTCACCACGCTGCCTCTTATATGGTTCGGGAGATGTAGCTTGACGTAAGTCACATGACTGGCTGAGTGGAGACCCATCTCTCAGGACCAACATATGTGTCACGACGTGGTGAAATCAGACGCTCGTCAATTTTTGGGCATGTCTAGTTATTAGTATCATCTTATAGCTTGTTCATTTGTCTTGCACTTAACTAAAAAAAATATCCATTTATCTTGAATAGAAGTCGAGATATTTGTGATTGAAAGAGGTAGGGGGTCGCCTTGTCTCAGAGGTAATATTAGCTAGAAAATGGCCTCCAAACTTTGGTGACTTTCAAAGCTTGAGTGTCCTTGGATACTGGAAATGTACCTTTTTTGTGCCTTTGATCAAGGTTTTTCTGTAAAATCCACCCAGAAATATGTTTCTTTTTCTCTTAATGGGCATAAAAAGTGATGTGCCAAAAAAAAATTTCGAAAAAAATAGGAAACTAGCCAGGAAAATGTTGGTTTCTTTGATTTCATTACTGGTATTTTGACGTGCGCCTGATTTCAGCCAGCTGTCTCACATATATATCGATGGTCTGACAGCCTTCAGATGTATGAATTACTTTTTTTTAAAGCTCAAGACAATTATAAACAGGTGCTTCATTCCTTCGAAACAGTTATTTTGCCAGGCTTTTCTGTTGGAACGGAAAATAATTTTGTTTTAGTTTAGCTGTTTTGTGTGCCCTGTGTTGCTTCAGCGGGTCGGCTGGGTCTAGATTTTATTTTTAGAATGACAATTTTTTAATTTTCTAGTAAAGATAAGTCAAAGTAAACATTTGGAATAACATCAAGAAGCGAGCCCAGAATAGAGAGAGGTGGAAAGTGTTTGTTCGTGGCCTATACCCTGGTACTGGGTGAGAAAGGCAATGATGATGATAAACTAAATACTGACATGTAGTCACCATTTAGCGTTTTGAAATAGTAAGAGTAAGATGTATGAACAGAAAGGATAGGAAGAAAAATAAGTTGGACCTTCCAGGTGAACTTTCCAAAGAGGAATTTACTTGTTGATCCGATAGCATAGCAGTCTGTCAAAATGATTTTTTGAGAAATACTGAAAGTTTCAAAGAGGTCTTCGTACTAGAAGTATTCTAAAATGTGAAGAATACAACCCCAGGATTACAAAATGACCCCAGGGCGTACAGACAGGGTTAAAAGCAGCAGACTCCACTGTGGTATAAATGAAAGACCTGCGATAGAAAACGATGCACAAACAGGTTGGCCAGCTGAAGACCTCACAAGGTACAGAGGCAGGAACAGGGGCTTTGTTATAATCTGTTGCTATCTTTATATTCTAATGAAGTTGGGACTTGCTTTGGATGGGCCTGAACACTGCAGCTTTGGAGAATGTGCACAATATGAACAAGAGGATTTTCACTTTTAAATAATATTAAAGGCTTCCATGTTTATTGTTACGGGTATGGGAGTATTTGTTTCATTTTTTGTCTGCTATTTGCTTGCATGGAATGTTTGATTTTTATGGAACACATTATAATACAGTGTAGCACGGATAGGTTGAACAGAGAAGACTCAAAATTACGCATCCTGAGAACTGTGCCTGCGACCCTGTTGTTTTGGGGTTTTGTTTGTTGGTTGTTTTTTAGGGGGGGGGGGAGTCTTCTTTATCTTTGTAAGATACCGCTCGAACTACCGAGGTCGGTCCCCAGGAATTCTATTTTAACTATCTGTGTTATACTGTATTTCCACTGTTTGTTGTCAGCTGGCACATGTGAATGTGTCTATTGAATGTTAGCTGCAGCATATTGATATATATAAGATATATATATACATATCGCGACCTCATTGCTTTTTTGTCGTATCTCCATTTTTAATAACTGTAAAAACAGTTTCATAACAAAGTGTGAGCTTAAGAAGAAGTCACATTTTCACTGTTTAAAAAATGGAGATACGACAAGAAAGCACTGAGGTCACGATATATGTTCTGGTTGTTAGCCTGCTCGTGTGAATCGTGAATGTGTGCATACATGGTCTATAGTTTCGCCTGTGAATGTGTGTTTACATTTTCCGAATGTAAGTATTGGCTTGTGCATGGAAAAGTCAAAGATCTTTTGTGAATGTTTTTAGCTTGTACTTTAAATATAAATATGTTGCCAGCTGAACTTAAAATAGTTATTTACTGTCGCCTTCCCAAAGTTCTTTCAGAATTAATTGTACTGAGGGGTTGACGAAAATGCTTAAATGTATTTATTTCTTATGTGTTTGTTATAATGTTTTTAACCTGTTACACGTTTGGGATGTACTTGAGAGCTGATATCTCGTGGTAGTCTGACAGACTCCAAATCATATACATGTGTCTCGCTCGAAACTTTCTTCAAAATGACAGTAGTCATTATTAGTCTAGGGGGGGGCCACGGTGACTGCGTGTCTAGGGGCACCAGGATTTTGGTCCTCGGAGATTAAAATTGTGGTCTTTTTATTCAAAACCTGGGTGGGTTATTTATCTGAGAGAGAGAGAGAGAGAGAGAATGGAAACAGACAGAAAGGGAGTGAGAAAGAAAGAAAGAGGGGGAGAGATAGAGAAAGGAGGTTGGGGGGGGGGGTGAGAGAAAAGAGAAGGATGGAAAAGTGTAAATGGTACAATGGGAATGATTTAGAGAAAAATTAATAATAATAGTGTGCGTGTTCTGCGTGCAGGCGTGAGTACATTTTAAAGCTTTGCTTCAAAGTATTGTCCAACAGACACCGATGCGACCGTCCCTGCCATTTGGGTGGGAAAACGAAATGACAACAGCTGGAAGCAGAAGGAAATGACTCGTGAGGTCACGCATGCGCAAAGCAAAATATTTTCATGGTCCCCCTAGACTGGGTATCTCCGTGGACCAGGGTCCTGGTATCAGGAGAGACAGTGTAAGGTAGCTGTGGCTGTACCTTTCTTTATTCAATTGAAGTTGTCTTAGAGTGACAAAATATGTACTGTCCTTGTCTGTGGTATAGTGAAGTGGCCAGGTGCTTCACTGCCGCACGCAGGAGGCCCAATTTCAATTCCCAAGTGAATGGGGAGAATTTTTATCAAGTATCTCAGTCTTTCTTCTGTTTGGGTGTTGTGTCCCTCTCAGCCAGTGTTGGCCCTGACCACAGGCAGGCTCAGAAGCCTGTCTCCTAAATGATCTAAATTGTGTCGGTGGAGGCATCAAAACACCTACAGTTGAGAAAATATAAAATAATAAATTTGTGACAGTTTATCCTCGTGGTTTTATGCAAAAAAAAATTATGGAATTATGCAAACTGAGCCCACAAATGTGAAATTATGCAAATCTGTTAATTTGAGTTTTAACAAAGATTGATAAAGGAAAATAATCAAAAACTATGCAACAACAAAAATGATCAAATTTGGCTAAATTATGCGTGGTGCATAATACCACGTTGACAGGTCAATGGGCATCAGATCACCTACAGTTGAAAAAATATAAAATGATAAATTTGTGAGTGAGGCGGAGGCATCAAATCATCTACAGTTTAGAAAATATAAAATAATAAATTTGTGAGAGTGGAGGCCTCAAATCACCTACAGTTGAGAAAATATAAAATAATAAATTTGTGAGATTGAAGTTCTGTATTAGAGTTAATAAATGATCGTCGAATTGAACAAATTACAGGGAAATGTCATGGCATAATAGTTTACCCAGTGAGCTGGTTTGAATTGTAGTTGTAGGTTTTATCTCTCCCCGTCGTTTTATGCATGAAAAATTCTGAAATTATTCAAACTGAGCCCAAAAATGTGAAATTATGCGATTCTGTTAATTTGAACAAAGAATGATAAAGGAAAATAATCATAAATTATGCAAAAAATGATCAAATTTTGCAAAATTATGCGGGGTGCATAAAACCACGGGGACAGTTATATGGTCGCTTTTAAGCACAAGGGGGGGCTGTCCTGAAAAATGTTGTTTTGAGAAAATGGAAGGTGAGGTTTTTGCCCCTTGTTCAGTTTCTTTATTAAAAGACAAGGAGAGTTTTCTCTATAACCAAACAAATATGCACGCCAATGAAACCAAACTTCTCCTAGATAGGGTAGGGCAATGCCCGCTTTTGGTGTAGGTCAAGATTTCTGGAAACCCCCGAAATCTGGGTTAGCCTGCTTGTCCTTAAAAGCGACCATATGAATGGCCGAGAATGTGTGAGGGATTTTGAACCCTTTTGACCTTTTGTTCACGGCTGTCAGTGGGACAATATCCTTGCTTTGGTTACCTGTGTGAGTCAGGAAATACAACTCGGAGACTGCTTGTTATTTGCCATGAATGTTTATAAATTGCATAGTAAACCAAATTTCTTCAGAAATGAGCAGTTTTGTTTTGTTTCTTGGTTGTTGTTTTTTTGGGGGGGTTAGTTTTTTTTTTGCTTCCATTTTCATGTTTTCCTTTGTCATTTGTGTCTGTATGCTTCAGTTGAGTCTGACACTTCTAGTGGGCGGTTGGCGGGTGTTCTGGTGTGGTCTGCTCCTTCTTTGCTGTCAAACATCTATCGTCCTTATCTCCTCTTTTTCTTTTTTATGTTTGTTACTCTCTCGTAACACCTCTAATCTTCTAGCACTCATATGACCTTATGCAGTTGAGAGCGCCATAAAACCTCTACTAAAACAAAATAAAATATCATTTCTGGTTAAAATGATGAAATGGTATAAGTATAAGGTTTAACGTCCCTGTCAACACTATGAGATTATTTGAGAGGCGGGACCTCCTAGGTTATCTTCCATCTGTGAAAGAACCGAGCCTAATGGGAAATTCGTGTAAAGTTAGTAAAGTGTCTATCCCAAGGACACAACGTTGGACCGGGCTGAGGCTCAAACCCCAGAATCCACAGTCTCATGATTACAAGTCCAGTAGCCTGACCACTTGACCACCCATGCCACTCATTTCTTCTAGTGCCTGCTCCATTAATTCATTATGCGGAACATCATGCCCACAAAAAAAAGTGAAACCTACACCTACGTGCAAGTTCCAAGATCAATTCAGACAATACAGATGGGTCAGGGTGGTTGGCGGGTGCTCTGGTGTGGTTTGCTCCTTCTTTCCTAATAAACAACTATCGTCTTTATCTCTTCTCTTTTTTTATGTTTGTTACTCTCTTGTAATACATGTACCTCTAATCCTCTGGCGCTCATATGACCTTATGCAGTTGCGAGCGCCGTAGAACCTCTACTAAAACTAAAACTAAGCGCGTTGCTGCTTGCAATTTAAAGTTCCTGATAAAGAAAACAGAACAGAAAAATCTGTATATGGGTAAAAAAAAAAAAGTACAAAGTGATGCCCCAAAACAGCAAGTCTTCAAGCGCTATCGAACTACATGTACATGTACCAAGGAAAGCTCCTTGACATGTACCAAAATGCGCATCCTCAATGAGATAAAAGTTTGGGAACTGTACTGTAGGCCTAAAGAAGAACAGGAGCTGGGACCCGATAAAAAGATCGAAGTGGCTAGCCGTACTTATCTTAGGCCCTATTAACATCAGGAAACAGGAGTCGACTGTACTGTGATATAATAATATGACAATACATGTTTTTTAGTCGAACCTGTGTAAGGTGGAATCGAAAAGGAGCCAGAAAAAAATTATGTCTTAGACAGGGGAATTTAGGGGGAGATGGAGGTTGGGGGAGGGTTCAAAGGCCCAGGAGGTGGGAATCAAGGATCGCTTGTCCGATCGGCAAGCAGTGGTCAAAACTTCACACCTCTCAATTGCTATCCTGTCTGATAATGACATGCGTCAGTCTTACTTATATTATATTTATCACCAGTGCTTGCCTTTCATAGGACCACTGTTTGACCTCTCCTTTGGTTCCACCCTTAGTCCCACCCAATGGCCCCACCCACCAATGCCACCCCTCACTGCCATCATGTAACAACGATTCAAGGAACCCTTTTCTCGGCTGGCCGTACGATCAGGGTGGTTGTCATTGGTCAATCTAATTTCACACCTCTGGCTTCTGGCTACCGAGGAAAGTTTCCGTAGTGGCTCGCTACTCGAGCACTCTCACGGGAAGTCGTGAGATTTCACACCCACACTACACTGACCATCTGCATCGCTCAGGACTCACATGATGGGGTAACATCTAGGCGATCATATGACCGTCTAGGGTAACATTTACTTTTAATCTCCTTGGGTAACATCTACCCCCAAATTGCACTCCTACTCCTCTTCCTCGGCCAGCGGCATAGCCGTAGCGTTGAGTTTAGAGCCGGCGGAACCAAACTTGTGAGTTTTGTTTCAAATCAAGGTTGAGCGGGCAAAGCGTTTTCCGTCTTAGACAGGTGAAACCCTCGGAAGGGAGCGGAATTTTCTTTCCGTTTCCGCGTTGGACAGGTTTCTGTTTTATACAGGTGAATAAAATGTTTCTGTTTTATACAGGTAAATAAATAAAGAGGAATAATATATCAAGGGGGGAGCGGGGAGATTCCGTTAAGACAGATTTCCGTTAAGGCAAGTATTACATGTACATGTATATATTTACACCAAATTTTAAATTATTTAACGTTTTAAGACCAAATGATCCGTGCCCAGCCGTGCAGTGAACTGCAAATGAAAAACTAACTTGTGTTTCGCGTGCTCAAATGACCTTATGCAGTTGCTATAGCGCCGTAAAACCTCATGCTAAACTAAACCGGCCAGTCCTGCTCCAACAACTACCTGTATTGGACGAGTGGTCAGGAGACCCGCGCGGCGCTCGTTACCCGGACTGATGTTCTTGCGACCCAGTCGTATCCTTTCAGTGACAGATTTTTACTTTTTTAAAAATTCTTTGCTGATTACCCAACAGTTGTGTAGGTCTACCTGTTCGAGGTCCTTCATTTTCTTAGTTTCGTTATCTGGACGCCATGCAGTCTGAATGTGACAAAGACAATTTGAAATGTGTTCATTCTGAAGTGCCAAAGAACTTTATTGAAAATGTTTCACCAAGTTCTCAAGTGCCAACCCGCCCCCCCAAAAAACAACAACAACAACCCCCCCCCCAAAAAAAAAACAAAAAAAACAACAACCCCAACAACAACATTGCCCCAAATCTTCAAAGACAATTGGAACTCTAGATTCTATAAGTAAATTTGGTTAAAGTTAGAGCATTGCCCTTCGGTTATCATCAGAGACTCGAAACCAATAAACTTTGATATATTTTGAGGTTTTTCTTTTTCTTCAATATTAAAGGGGGAGATGTCACGGTAGTCACAGTTTCATACCTTACTCTTTTTTAATTTCAGGCCGGAAGCGCCCCGTATGCCATGGGCTTTTGGTTAATGTTACTCACTTCGGGGATCAACCTAAAAAGTCAGAAACTGACAACTTCAAAATACAAATAGAATAATAAGACATCTCGTTCTCCCGCAATTTGGTGTAGTTCAGGCTTCCGGGAATTGTGTCCTTTCTCCCACGTCACTCCTAAGCCAGGCTTCCGGTCTCGCTCATGATTGATCAAGGTTCGCCTATTTTATACAAGGTGTCTGTGGAAAGGAGAGGCGACAATTTCTGTGTAGACTAAATTAACTTCCGGTTTGTTGCTGTTGTGACGGTAGACAGTTCTGAAGTTTGAGTGTCCAGTCTGAGTCGTCAATATGGAACTGCCAGAGCAGTATCTCTGCCGCAGAATATTTTATTTACTTTTGTCATGCTTTGTATTGGTTTGTTCCACGGAAAATGTAATCGACACGAGCAAATACCACAGGTATGACGATATAGTATCTTTGTTTACATCGCTCCATGCTCAGTACCCGGACATAACCAAACTTCACAACATTGGAAGCAGTGTCCAGGAAAGACAGCTTCTCGCCATTCAGATTACAGATAACGTGAACATTTCGGAACCAGGAGAACCCATGTTCAAATATGTTGGCAATATGCACGGAAATGAAGCTATTGGTCGAGAGGTTTTGATCTACTTGACTCAGTATTTGTTGTTCAAGTATGAGGAAGGTGATGAGCGAGTGAAAAAGTTGGTCGATTCCACAAATATCTTTATCATGCCTTCCATGAATCCAGATGGGTTTGAGAAGGCTAAAATCAATGACTGTATGGGAGTTGGTGGTAGAGGCAATTATTATAACGTTGACTTGAACCGGAACTTCCCAGATCAGTTTGGAGGAAACAAGGAGAAAGTTCAGCCCGAGACCAAGGCGATTATTGATTGGATAGAGAGCAACCCCTTTGTGCTATCGGCTAATCTCCATGGAGGTAGTGTGGTAGCTTCATACCCCTATGATGACAGTAAAAGTCATAGACATGGCACGTACAGTGCTGCTCCTGATGATGCCATGTTCAGACTTCTAGCTCACACTTACGCCAACAATCACCTGACAATGAGCAAACAGGAACGTCCGTGTTCGGGGGATTTCTTCAAAGATGGTATCACTAATGGTGCACAGTGGTATGATGTACCAGGTAAGTTCACATTTTTTTGCTGCTTTCTGATTTCATAATTTTCTGTACTTTTTTACTTTCACTACCATCTCATGCTTAGAGTCTCAGACTCTGAGGCTGAGGTATTAAACAATAGTTATAGTTAAAGTTATTTTTATAGCCCTTTTCTAGCTCAATATTAATTTCTTTTGTACATGAAAATTGACTTTGTACTAGATCTAGTCGCAAATGAATAATTTTAAAAAATATTATCAATGGTTTTTCGTCAAACTACACAAAACCTAATTTTTGTAGTAATTTCCGCGCTTTGGACTGGTCAAATCAAGGTGTTTCAGAAGGCAGGCCTCCCTGAGGTAAAAAAAATAATTTTGGGGTTACAAGGAGGCATCTCTGTATTTCCCCACAAATTGATAATTTGTGTCCTGACTTGATGGAATCAAATGTTATCAATTTTTGGGCATATTTGGAGTTATCGGTATAATCTTAAAAGCTTGTTCATTTGTCTTGCTTTTGGTGAAAAAATTTATAACAATCTAATGTTGAGATATATTTACGATTACACAGGCTGTGGGTAGCGTGGTTTCAGAGGTAAAATTAATGAGAAAATGGCTGTCAAAGTTGTGTGATTTACACAGCCTCAGAGTCCTTGAAGACTTAAAACATTTTTTGTGCCTTTTTAATCAGTGTTAATCCATACCCAGACATTTTATGTGTGTCTTTATGGATAACAAACAGTGCTTGTGTAGGCGGGTGAAAGGAAAAATTTATTCAATTCACTTTTCGTTCCAGTCTTGGCTTTTTGGGTTTGCATTTCTATTTCTCTTGTCTATGGGACGAGCCATTTTCAGAAAAAGTACTGCCAAGATATATTTGAATTCCTCCACCTGTTTCAGTTGTTTACTATTGACAATTGTTCAGGGGACTACGGTTTCGGCTCACTTTCATAACTTCTGTTTTTGATGTGATCATGTTATATTTTTCGCAGCTGTTGTTCAGTTCGAGTTTGACATCCAATATATTTTCTGAGATGTACGTATTATATATCGTTTTAAATGTTTTCCAGTCTATACTGTTATTTGTGTATTTTAATTAATGTTCTGCCTCCGGGGTGGTTCTCTCTGTGTTCCAGCACATGAGACATGTATAAAATTTACTAATGTCCTGTCTTGTTGTGCACATATGCGTGAGAGCTTTGTAACTTCTATTGCCATTGTTAACGACCAAGAAGACAAATTGTGGGTTGTTGGCGGGTGCTGTGGTGTGGTTTGATTCTTTTTTTCTATGAAACATCTATCGTCCTTTTCTCCCCTTCTTCTTTTTTGTGTTTGTTACTCTTTTGTAACACCTCTAAATCTTCTGGCGCTCATATGACCTTTTGCAGTTGCAAGCGCCGTAAAACTCTTACGAAGACAAATTTCTCCCTGCGAGATGAATAAAGATTGTCATTGTCATTGTTACCCCTTCAGGTGGGATGGAGGACTATAACTACCTGCACAGCAACTGCTTTGAGATCACTGTGGAACTGTCGTGCTGTAAATACCCACCGGTGAACCGCTTGCCGATCGAGTGGGACAACAACAGAGAGAGCCTGCTTGCTTACTTGGAGATGGTGAGTGTGTCTGTTTTTATATGGAACTGAGCTTTAGAGCTTTTGTGTGTCTGTGTGTGTGTGTGTTTTGTAAGCGCCACTGAGCACTTTTTGTGGATTCTGGCACGTTATAAATTCATTTATTATTATTTTTATTATTTTATTATTATTATTATTATTATTATTATTATTATTATTATGTCTGTGTTTGTCATTGTGTTTCAGGGCAGTGTCACACATGCAGGGCTGTCTTAATTTATAAATGCATTGACGTTCTCTTAGCAGTTACCGTAAGGGCTTCCTGTGGGTGGTTGGCAGGTGCTCTGGTGTGGTTTGCTCCTTCTTTCCTGTCAAACAACTATCGTCCTTATCTCCTCTCCTTCTATTTTGTGTTTGTTACTCTCTTGTAAAGCCTCTAATCTTTGGCACTCATATGACCTTATTGTGTTGCGAGTGCCGTAAAGCTCTTACTAAAACTAAAGACAGTGGTGGACATCTGCTATGTGGCAAATGACCTTCACGCTCTTGAACTGTTTCTTAAAATACAAATGAGTTAAGGAACTGCCTTTACAGGGCTACCATCCAAACCAAAATCAAAGATCAAAATGAAATGGAAAATACAATTATGTGCTCGATTGGAGTCACAGTCATGAGTCAAATAGACTCAAATAGATTTTCTGACACTGTCGTTGTGTTACATTCACAGCCACCATTGTTGCACTTGTTTCTCTCGAGTAGTAAATGACCCGAACAGATGTCACTTACAGTAAATATTTTATGAGACCTGTCTGGTTTAACCCTTCCAGCCCCATGCGCGTATATATTTTCTGCAGAGCTTGTACCTCCCTCCGTCCCAAGAGCGTATATTCACAGTTTCGCGGGGTACCGAATTTGCGCATTTTTCGAAATAAGCAAATCGAATTAAACTTTATTTTTCAGAATAATTGTTCATTTACCTTTAAACATTGATGTTGTCTAAATCTTATTACAAAGATGCTGCATCACTTTTTAGAATGCTTGTCTCTTTTTCTAAAATACTGCTGTGTTGGCTGGGACTGGGGTTAGGGAGTGCACAACAATGTCTGAGGCTGGAAGGGTTAATTATATCATTATGTATGTAACAGCTATGTGGCAATACAGAGAACAAATTCTGAAAAAGTCTCTTCAGTTCACGACCATTGTCGGCGCTGCTCCTAAAGGAAATTTATTTTTTGTGACGTAGTTATGAATAAAACATTTTTGTGACCACAGTAGACTCGCAAGGTGAGCTGAAATATCTGCCTTAAATAGTCAGTCCATCCTAGCTGGCAAGATATCTTTACTTTCTGTCTGACGTCTTACATCTCACAATTAAGTATGTCCTACACATTTAAACAGCATTTTGTGGTTGGTTGGTGGGTGCTCTGGTGTGGTTTGCTCCTTCTTTTCTATCAAACGTCTAGCGTCCTGATCTCTCCTCCTTCTGTTTTATGTTTGTTACTCTGTTGTAACACTTCTAATTTTCGACACTTATATGACCTTATTGTGTTGCAAGTGCCGTAAAACTCTTACTAAAACTAAAAACAGCATTTTGTGCACCCCGTCTCTTGCCGTTTTTTGACAGGTACACATTGGCGTCAAAGGTTTTATCACCGATGCTGAAACAGGACAAGGCATTGAGAACGCCGTGGTGATGGTGGAGGGCATAGCGCACAACGTGACCTCGGCCCAGTTCGGTGACTTCTGGCGATTGCTCACACCGGGAACGTACTCCCTACGCTTCGTGGCTGACGGGTCAGGGGCCTCTTTGTTTTGTAATAGTACCTTCTCCTAGTTGGGGAAGCAAAGGCGGCGTGGAAAGGAACTGGCCATCCTACCACAATATGCTGAAGGCCCAAGAAGTTGTCTCACTAACAAGGCAATCCCCAATGTCCGGGTCGGATGCGGGAACAACTTTACTTTTTTACCTTCTCATACATACTCACAATTTAGCAAAGAACAATTTTTATTGTGGAGGGGATGTCTTCTCGTTCTTCTCTTCCTCTTTGCTTTCAGAGGTGGTCAACAGTGGTGAATGTGGGTGGTTGGCGGGTGTTCTGGTGTGGTTTGCTCCTCTTTCCTATAAAACAACTATCATCTTTATCTCTCCTTCTTCTTTTTTTATGTTTCTTACTCTCTTGTGACACCTCTTCTTCTACTTCTTTTGTATGTTTGTCACTCTTGTGACCCGGTATTTCCGGGGTGCCTTGATAGTCGAAGCAGACTTTGAGCTGTTGAAGCTAGCTAGAGAGGTAAGCAAAGTAAGCCCGATTCCGTTTAAGGACTTCTCAGTTGACATCCACCCCTTGGCGCTCATATGACCTTATGCAGTTGCAAGCGCTGTAGAACCTCTACTAAAAAAAATAAATCAATGGAAGGCTGTGATGGGGATGAGCTATTGGTGGTTTGGGGGTACTCTGGTGTGTTTGCTCCTTCTTTCCTATCAAACATCTATCATCTTTATCTCTCCTCTTTCTTTTCTTCGTATGTTACTCTCTAGTAATACCACAAATCTTTGGCACTTACAGGGCCCGAGGACCTATTTGTGTTGCAAGTGCCGCAAAACTCTTACTAAAGCTAAAGTAAGAGGATTGGCTTTTTTTCTTTTTCCCTTTTCTTTTTTTCTCTTCTTTTCTTCTTTTTAAACTGATGCCTGTCCTCCTTCTCAGGTATGAGGACACCGTGCAGAAGGACATAGTAGTACCCAGCGGAGAAGGAGTCTCTGTCAACGTAACCCTCAGTCGGAAGGGAAAAGCAGTAGCCATGCCGAGGTAAGGACATTGTTGAAACGCTCACCGTAATTTGTCGCTTTTAAGCACAAGTGGGCTATCCCGAGAAATGCTGTTTTGAGAAAATCGAAGGTAAAGTTTTTGCCCCTTGTTCAGTTTCTTTAAAAAACAAGGAGGGTTTTCTCTATACCCAAACAAATATACACACCTATGAAACCAAACTTCTCCTATGGGTAGGGCAATGCCCACTTTTGGTGTAGATCAAGATTTCTGGAAACCCCCGAAATCTGGGTTAGCCGCTTGTCCTTAAAAGCGACCAGTTGTGTGTTCAATGTTTTCACCACTTGTGCCAGCCCCCCGCCCCCCTTCTCCCCTCCCCTTCTCCCCCCCCCCTTCTCCCCTCCCCTCCTCCCTGCCCACCCCAGGTGAACACTTCCTGGTGCTAACGATAGATTGTGGGTGGTTGGCGGGTGCTCTGGTGTGGTTTGCTCCTTCTTTCCTGTCATGTCAAACATCTGTCGTCCTTATCTCCCCTCCTTCTTTTTTTGTCTTTGTTACTCTCTTGTGTCACCTCTAATCCTCGGCACTTGTACGGCCTTATTGTGTTGCAAGTGCCGTAAAACTCTTACTAAAACAAACTAATGATGGAAATTATTTCCCTGCCTGTGGTTTCAGCGCTACCTCAAAAGGGCCGGAAGAGAAACTGGAGACGACAAAGGAACCAGTGGTCACTGTACCGAAGGGTGAACCGCTTGACCGACTAATGACTTACCTAGATGGCCTCAAAGACTTCAGGTATGGTGTGGTCAATGTCACGTTTAAGCACTTATGTCACGTTTAAGCACTTATATCGAGACCTTGACCGAATTAGTCTTACCTGGATGGCCTCAAAGACTTCAGTGCCCCCTGGGGCAGTGCCACTGACTGTAGTGTCTTTAGGCTATTCCCGAAGGGGGGACATTTCTCGTTCAAGCATAGTAGAATTGTAAATGGGCTGATTCATCAATGTCACGCTTATAACTGTGCCTGATCTGCAACAGGGAACTGCTGCTTTTTCTTTCCTAATCCTTACTATCGTCATTTTCCTCTACTTCTTTTGTATGTTTGTCACTCTCTTGTGACCCGCTATTTCCGGGGTGCCTTGATAGTCGAAGCAGACTTTGTGCTGTTGAAGCTAGAGAGATGAGCAGAGTAAGTCTGATTCCCTGTAAGGACTTCTATGTTGACACCCACCCCTTGGCGCTCATATGACCTTTTGCAGTTGCAAGTGCCGTAAAGCCTTGCTAGTGGGTGGTTGGCGGGTGCTCTGGTGTGGTTTGCTCCTTCTTTCCTATTAAACATCTATTGTCCTGATCTCTCCTCCTTCTTTTTTTTTGTTTGTTGCTCTCTTGTAACACCTCTAATATTCTCACGCTCATATGGCCTTATTGTGTTGCAAGTGCCGTAAAACACTCACTAAAACAAAATATCTCCCCTCCTTCTTTTTTGTGTTTGTTACTCTCTTGTAACACCTCTAATCTTCGGCACTTATATGACCTTATTGTGTTGCAAGTGCCGTAAAACTCCTAACTAAAACTAAAACCTTGCTAGAACAATGGCTTACGTTTTTCTTCGGCTAAATGACAATTGTTGTTAAAGTGCTTCTCTTTATTCAAAGTAAAATCCTTTACTCTGTGTTTTAATTCTTTATCTCCGGCAAGCATCTCCCAGTGGCTCGCGGTCGGAACTGCCGTGCCGGGGAGCCTCTGACAGTGGCTCGGGCACATTCCTTTACGACAATTTCGACATCAAGTTACTTTTCGGCAATTGCCGAAAACAGGTTTCATTTACCGGAAGTTCATTCATCAAAAAGGGGCCCCGGCATAGTGGGTTTACCCCCTCGGAGATAAAAGAGTTAATGTACATGTGTACTATCTTTCGTTGCTGACAGCCACCCCTTGGCGCTCATATGACCGTATACAGTTGCGATTGCCATAAAACCTCTACTGAATAAAAAATATACACTCACTAAAACTAAACTATCTATCGTGGCTGACAGCCACCACTCCAGCACACACTTCAAAGAGCCCTCCGAGTTCGTCCACCACAACTTTCAAGAGATGACCAAGTTCTTGCAGGACTTGGCCGACAAATACCCGGCCCTGGCCAAGCTCACTTCCATCGGCCAGTCCGTCCAAGGTCGCGACCTGTGGGTCCTGGAAATCACGGAGAACCCCGGCCAACACATGCCAGGTACGTGCCTGTAGTGCCTGTCGCGTCAGATAGTGTGACAGTAAGGTTGTCACTGATAAGATAGTCTTGCCTGAATAATTTTTGCTTTACAACTCATTTTTACTCTCTGGTCTGTACTCTACTACATAGTTCTTTGCCCCCCCCCCTTTCCCACGTGGAGATCTATTAAGGGAAGGTGCTACAAGTGCTGTAAAATTTGTACTTTTATAAATTGTCCTTTGAAAGATACATGTTTGTTTGGATGTCTTTTCTCTAAAGTAACCCCGTGGGTGGTTGGCGGGTGCTCTGGTGTGGTTTGCTCCTTCTTTTCTATCAAACATCTATCGTCCTTTTCTCCCCTTCTTCTTTTTTTGTGTTTGTTACTCTCTTGTAGAGGGTGCGATGGCGGAGCAGTTAGTGCGCTCGTTTCCGAAGCGGAAAGTCTGGGTTCGAGCCTCGATGGGCACACAGATTTTTTTCGTCCCCTCCTGCCCACCCAGCAGTAATGGTTACCTGACTTCGAGTTGGGGAAGTAAAGGCGGCGTGGAGAGGAACTGGCCACCCTACCACAATATGCCGAAGGCCCAGGAAGTTGTCTCACTAACAAGGCAATCCCCAATGTCCGGATCAGATGCGGGAACAACTTTACTTTTTACTCTCTTGTAACACCTCTAATCTTCTGGCGCTCATATGACCTTTTGCAGTTGCGAGTGCTGTAAAACCTCTTCTAAAACTAACTCCGACTGACAGGAACTTATTGTCCCGGCAGGCAA